CTTCTTCATTGCTACTTACTCTCTGCCAAGAGAAGGGGCCGTGGCCTCTGCCCCCCGGTCTTCTTGGTACCGATCAGGCCTGGAGGTGGATGGGCGAAGAAGACCCCTCGGTTTTTGTCTCCTGCCCCAAAATCTGGAACAGACGTGACGTTTCATCATTCCGCTGTGGGAACGCGCCTTGCAGCAATTAAAAAAAAAAGACCTGTGTCCTTTAAAATTACCGCAGAAGAGAGGAGCGCTACGAAGAGCAAGCGAGATGCGTTGGGGAAAAAAGAGTATTTTCTGCCGCAGCTGCTCTGGGTTCCCAAGCCAAGCCAAGCCCAGCCCTAGCAAGCCGCTGGGTTTAATTAATATCTCAGAGGTCACCCTCCGGGCTCCCTCTGCATGTAGAAAGCTAATCTGGTAGAGGGAACGGCCCTAACTCAGCCTTCTCCCTGACATCCTAGCTTTCTATGCCCAGGAACGTGCGTTTTCGGTCCTGTGAGTCCCCGTCTGCTGGTTGAGGCCTCAAAGGCCTGGTTTTCTCGCCACCCCATGGAAAGCCCCTTCTGGAAGGATCCTGGACAAGGCCCTGGTGGTTTAGCAGGGGAGGGGTGAATGCTAACGGTGCACACATGAATTGCTTTCCCAGAATCCTCTGCAGTGGATCATTTCCCAGAATCCTCTGCCGCACCCATCACTCCTGCAGGTTGCCCGCAGACCTTTCTCTGTGAAAATAGTTCACTCAGAGGCGGAGCATTGGAAAGCCGGGACCCCAGGGCTGATGTCCTTTCTCATGTCCAAAGAGCTTAAGGAAAAGTAGCTTCTGAAGTGTCGCCATCTCTTTACTGAGATTCATCCGAAATGACCTAGTTTACCTGACCTCGATTATTTTTCTCCTCTGCCTGGACCGCCCCTGTATCTTTGCAGTGTGGAAGGCTGTCTTTGCAGGTTGTTAAAATGCAGGATCTCTCTTGGATGAATTTCCTTCTCTTAAGTTTTGAAAATATCCAATAAAGTTTGTAAATTTTCTGGGATGCGGCCTTGCTGTCGCCTGTATTATTTGTGTCATTCTCTTTCCCCTGAAGTACCAGCCTTTTCAAATGGATTCCCTTTCTCCTTCCCCAGAAGCAGCTGGAGCCATTTTTGAAATGGGGAAGGGTTGCTATAACCATGGAAGATGAAGCTGAGGAAGATCCCTGAGGATGGACTCAAAGTTACCCCAGGAGGGCCGGTTTCTTAATATTAAAAGTATTTCCAAAACTTTTTTCTGCCCACCAGGACCTTCAGCATAACGTACAACTTTGAAGAGCCACAGAATAAAAGGGAACGAAATGCTCTTAAAGCAAATACTGTATTATTTAAATCACGTGGCTTAAATATAAAGTGTTTAAGACGAAAGCCAGTTTGGGGTAGTGGTGAAGGCACCAGGCTAGAAACCGGGAGACTCTGAGTTCTAGTCTTGCCTTAGGCCCAAAGCCAGCTGGGTGACCTTGGGCCAGTCCCTCTCTCTCAGCCCCAGGAAGGAGGCAAGGGCAAACCACTCCTGAAAAACCTTGCCAAGAAAACCACAGGGACAAGTCCAGGCAGTCACCAGGCATTAAGACTGACTCAAAGGTGCAAAAAAAAAAAAAAAAAAAAGGAAGATCAGCACTTCGTAGGGTAGAAAAGAAGCCCTTGAAAAAACAACTCGGATGCTGTGATGTGTCTATACCTACAAAGATCAGAATTGTGCAAGCCAGGGTATTCCCTGTGACACTCAATGGAAGCGAAAAGTTGGGCTTTGAAGAAGCAGGATAGGAAGAGTATTGACGCCTTTGAACTTTGGTGTTGGAGACCACCAACTTGATGGTACATGATCCGTCCATCCATCCATAAAATACCCTGGTAACCACTTTTATCTGCTGCTTCTCTCTCTGACATTACCTTCATCTTGTTCCCGGTCCACAATCTAGACTAGTGAATTCTCCAAAGTGGGGGGGCATGCACTATTCAAATATCCAGCTATCTATTTCTATTGATGTATTCCTCGTTCCATCTCATCCTTTTTTGATTTTCCATTTTGAGGGTTACATTTTATGATGTCCATAATAGGCTGGTACAGGAGTCCAGTTATATCATTTACAAACTTACACACATATTGGAGTTGCACACTGAATGTTTTTGTTATGGACAAGGGTGGGCAATCCCAAAGACCACCCCCCGTTCCCAACAGCCACAATCAACTTTAGCTGTCCCAGTGTTGTGGGACGGGGGTGTTTCCCTCTTAAGCAGCCAATAAACCAGCGAGTTTCATCCATTTGATTTGTTTTACCAGCATTTGGGTTGGTCTTGAAATCAGATGACCTCAATGGGAAGGAATCAGCCAACTCCTATAAGCTACTAGGTTAGTACAGGGCAACCGCCTTCCTCCCCTCTGGCTCCCGGACACAGTCCTGGTCCTGCAGGGTCATCAATGTTCTTCGGACAAGGAGAGATTCCCATTTTTCAACCTGGGTTCTTCACACACCCCTCCCCCGGTATCCTCCAGTGCTCCAAGCTGGTCCTTGGAGACCTGGATCAGCCTGACCAGCAACGGAGGAAAAGAGGCCACCCAGTGAAGCCAAGGAAAGACAGCTCTGGAACATACAAAGACACGTTTGGAAAGTTGAGGAACAGTTGAAGGATCTGGATATGTTTAGTCTATGGAAAAGATGGCGAGAGGAGGCATGGGGGTCTTCAGATATTTGAAAGGTTGTCACACAGAAAGAGAGAGGGATGGTTCTCTGGTGCTTTGGGGAGAAGGACTAGAACCAGGGGGTCAAAATTACAAGGAAGGAAATTCAGACCAGGGATCAAGAGGAACTTCCCAATAGTTTGAGCCAGTGGAACAGGCTGCTCCATGAAATGGTGAGTCCTCCATCACCAGATGTCTTCAAACCAGAGCTGGAGGGTCATCTGTCAGAGATGACCCTCCAGAGTCTATAGTGGATCCTGCCCTGAACAGTGGATCTCTAAGATCCCTTCTAACTCTATAATTCTAGAAGAGTGTTTCTGTGATGAAATGGAATTATGAAGGCCAAGCTCAGGGAGATAAACATTTTCTTAGCTCACCAGAACCGCGTGGGAGAAACAAGAGGATGAGACTGGCACCTCCCTGAGGAATTCGCAATGTTGTGGCTGGCTGACTTGGGAGCTGGGGTTTCAGTCTGGGAAGATTCTTGCTAGAG